AAGTCAAGCTTGATTTTATTTGCCAAGCGAAGTGACTGGTCATCAGCCACAGATCCAGCCACTTTTAAATAATTGAACAAGCCAAGAGCTGGCACGTCACTATAGCACTGGCGCACCGCGACCTTGGTGACCCCTACAGACTTTGTCGCATTTATGCGGGGATGATGCTTAAGCTCAGCTACTGTATCCGTAGAGTCATAACGCAATTAGTACAGTATACACGGGCTTCGTTATATGCTGTTCACAAACAAGTTAGAGGCTGACCTGCAGCCAATTAAATGCCCAGCCAATAAGGAAAGTGACCCCTAATTATTTTTAGAAGCCGGCAAATAGAATCCCAAATTTGGGATCCAAGTTCTCAGGGTAGCCAAGATGCCATCTGTCTTGTTGCAAAATTTCCACTCGGAAAACATCTCTATCGTTATCTCCACTTTCCGGACTGGCGGCGAAATTCCGGTACTGGATGAGCACTATTTGGATGGTGGTCAGTTCGTATCTTCAAAGCGATCTTTTCGAACGGAGAAGCCTGGTCTGTACGCATTCCGATCCACGTACAGAGTAACTCCCAAGACGCCATCATAAGCATCCTCCAAGAGAAACAAGATATACTTCGAAAGATTCGCGAGAATGGCTTTCTCTGGGCTCCAATATTCCATGGTTCTAATTTCACCTTCGAGAACTCGGTTGGATTTCGTTTATGGTGTTATCGTGGATTAAAGGCTCGCCTCTTCGCTGGACTCCTAGCTACCCATCAAGGCCTATTCGTAATAAAATACTTGGTCAAGTTGCCGCGATACAGATATCTCTCATTGAGTGTACCCAAGAGAACAGTATGTCTAGCTGCCCCCCTTCGAAATCAACTGCTTACTGGGCATTACAGGGGAACCAGCCACAAATTTCTTCTCGAGGAGAATCGATAACAATACCTATCGAGTACGCAATGGCCGCCTTCCCGACATAACTGAGCAAGTCTGTATCCACCAGAGAAGTCTCCTTCCCCAAGTGCTGTTTACCAAGCTAGAAGGCGCGCCGTACGCTCTCGACCATGGCGACCTAGCACCGCAAAATATAATAGTTGGCTTAGAATACAACATCACTGGGTAAGTACGCGTCAAGACTGGATACGCTCATATTGCTCGCTTCAAAGTACAATCGATTGGGGTTTGCTTTGATGTTTCCCATGCAATTGGCTGGCCGCCTGCCTCGATTTCTTCAGCTATAAGAACATGTCCTGCCTCCAAGTCCAACTCTTGAAGAAGATCGAAAGGCTTATCTTGCTTCATTGATATCTTACCCTTCGCAAGTAGCTTCTTGGCTGCTGCTTATTCAATCATCCGACGACGTTGATTTTCGCCATTGCTATCTAGAATCGATTCTCAGCAAGGGGATGCACCGTTCGCTAGCATGTCTGGGATGGAAGCTTCCCTCTCGTTAGCAATAAGAGTTTCTAAACCGTCCATGTTCAATCAGCGAACCAGCTATTGCAATAAGCTAATCAAATCGCTCTCTTTACTGCGCACAGCAATTGTTGCTATCCTACCTCTAAGATAATTACATGTCTGCGGAGAAGCCAGGACGATTCGGGTCCTCGCTATGTAGTCTTGTCACGGCAGGCAATCGAACCTCACATTCTCAAGATCACTGGGGAAGTGACTCATTACTTGTCTCTCACATGGGCCTCCCTTATCAAGCAAGATCCCCCAGGCTTTCGATCCTACACTCTTCACCTCAATTCCATTGCATCTTCATGAGGTCTTCAAATTTCTACTCCCAAATTTCACTCAGTAAATTTCCAATCAATCAACATGGCTCAAACCACCGGAATCTTTACCTCATTCCCATCCAGCGCAGCGACTGCAATCCAAGGCTAGATAGCCGATCTCCAACCCCTCCGAAATGTGGTCATTAGTGCATATGCCGGACTCACAATCAGCCGCGAGTACAACGATCTCATTATACGATTCAATCAATACAGTGGTATAGCGACGATTGGGAACAACCTACCTGCAATCGTCCCATACGTGGTTGAATGCGTTAATTACGAAGCACAACGCTGGGATGAATTCAAGCCAAATGACGATGGGCATATCCTCAATTCTCAACTTGAAGATATTGATGCAGAAATGGGCGCAATCAAGGGCAAAGTCAACACAATGGTGGTAATTGCGGCGGATCCGAGTCGGACAGAAACGCAGAAGAGCAGAGCCCTCCGTGAAAGCTGTGCCAGCATCAATCAGGTTTTTATGCAGATGAATTATCATATCGTACTGCTCAAATGGGACTGTGTAAGCTACGTCTCCGGTCGTGCTCTCTATGGATAATGAGCCGGATTAATGATATCAATCAGAGGGAGTGTGTCAAATCAGCAGTTCGTGCAGTCTCAGCTACAGTTTCACCAATCCTTAATATAATCAATTGCATTCGTGACAATAGATGCCCACCACAGTGTGTCCCTCTCTGGGCGTCCTTTGTCCTTACCGAAAACAGATGGGCAGATGTCCGCAGGGCACCTTTCAGTGATGACTTCAGAGTATCCGAAAACGAACTCCTGGTGCTGCGACGGCGTCGAGGAGTATGAGGTGATAGAGGTGATGGAGGAGCTCTGGAGGTTGTAGCAGGTACCGGAATACCAGGATTAGCTCTTGCTGCAGGACTCGTGAAAGGCGCACGAAAAATCTACCGTTGACCACAAACGCGAGATTACACAAAGGAGTCAAGCACTATGTAGGAGGGATTCTCTCCTCTCCGTCTTCTTTTCCTCTTCTTCATCTTTCGTTTGGTCCGATACTAGCTAGCCAATGTAGACTGTGACTATACAGATCTCCCTGCTTAGCACTGTGACAGCTGTGAGGTACAGTAATGATTCTCAAAGCTCAAGCATCTACGCTCACTAACCTTAGGCAATATCACGATTTCAGCTGTCAAACCCGCCGTCCTCCCTCTGAACGATGCCTTCAACGACAAGCGCTAGCGTTAAGCACCGATGTCCTATCTGTGAAAAGGGGTTTCCTGATCGCAAAGCCCTTAGAAGCCATATCGGAGCCAAAAATCAAACGCCCGCCGTCGCACATAAATGCTCGCTCTGCACGCAGCAGTTTTGCAGTGAAAAGGCTTTACTGCAGCACCAGCGCTCCCCATCCCACGATACCATGTTCAAGTGCGACACATGCAAAAGACATTTCCGGACTATACAGGGCTTGAGGGATCACCAGAGGGCCGTACGGCATGTTGCTACTGGTTCGGTAGTGGTTTCTACGTCGATAATAGGATCAGAAGACCGAACGTCAGCGGGGATGGGAGCAATAAGGGGTTGGAAGATCAACAGTCTCACCGGGCAAATGACAAATATGCAGCTTGATCAAGATTGGACGTTATGTGATAAGGACTGTGATTGGTGCGGGCACTGCGCGGAGTCCTACGACTATTGAAGATGACTGTACTTGCTTCTTCCCACAACAACATTGCATGACCTCCTTCTCAATCGTCTTCTTTTTTACGTAGATACCTATCTACGCCACTCAGAGGATCTGTTACATGCACACTATAACTCCCAATTTTGTGTGATTTGAGAGTATCCCTTATTGCTTCTAACAGGTCAGACGCGAAGCTTGCGACCTCTTTGACCTCCTTGGAGAACTTATGGTTATCCGCTCGGAAGAATTCTCCTGCTACAGCGGCGGCCAACACTTTCCGCACTGGGTGTCCGTCAGGGAGACCTGCGGCTGAGACGATATGGTTTGAGTTCAGGCAATAAGTGTTCGAGTCCAAGGGGTACCTGTGAGCGGGATCTGCGAGGATAATAGTTTTAATCTGCTCAGCCATGGTGCCCTCCATGCCGGTAACACCACACATGTCGGCAATTTTTACAAATTCGACAATAGCAGTGATTGAATCTGTCGGTGTCGAATCGCCCAAGATGACTCGCCCAAGATATAACCATTGTACCAGTAATTCAAAGCTCTGAATTGAAACTATACCATCCTCCTCCTTCAATGTTGTAGACTGCTCTTTCCCCTCTTGAAAGTTCCCTTCGAATGTGGCTTTGAAGTACGGCGATTGGTTGCAGAGGAGAGCTTTTGAGAGCTTGTATTCGCGGCTTGTCGATCCAATTCGAACGGTGACCTGTGGACCTGAATACAGCGGAATCACGCTATTCGATGAGTCAATGAGCCATTATGATAAGATTATTGTCGACCTACGAAGTAACAAAGTCGTTGAATGGCTTGTCAAGTGTGGCCTCCGACATGGTGATTTAGCTGCAAATTTGGCAATAAGTACCACATGCACGCAAGTAGCTGACTTCTTATTGTGTTGGTTTCGTGATGCGACGATAGCAATTGTAAACTTCAGTCGGTGAGAGAAAAACGAGGCATCCTGGTGGTCGGGTGATCGTGGATACCCTCATAAGACACCAGAGTCGGTCTCGAAGGTATACTCTACAGGAGGTCAGGGCAGATGAGAGTCGCCGGATCTTATGACTTGCATTTCTCTTGACCTGCGTTGGATGGACTGGAATCGTAGTGAAATGTTGCAGGATCACAGTTTCCGTCTTGGCTGCGCTATGTGAGTTACACCAGCCGTTGGTCATTGCAAATGCGACTTCAGAATTGGCTCCTCGCCTCGCCTCGATGAGTGCTTATGCAGGATGCCCGAAACCATATATACTAATTCTCTATGTTCTAGTCATGTGACAGGGTCACATGACTACAGGAGGCTTATGTCCTTACACTAGCCCCGAAATACTAAGTAGGAGATAAAGTTTGGCTCGATATCCGCTACTGGAAGAGTGACCGTTTACGAAAGAAAAAGCTTAGCCCGCTCCACCACCGGTTTACGGTTTTAGAAGCCATCGGAGGAAGCGCCTATCGGCTTAACACACCAGGGGAACGTTATAACGTTTTCCACGAGTCGCTTCTCCGCCCTACGTCAGATAATCCCTTCCCGACTCAAGTTTAAGACGATGTTTAACCAGACCTAATACTAGTAGATAGCGAAAAAGAGTAGGAGCTCGAAAAGATCCTGGCAGACCGAGTCGTTCGAGGCCGCGGCCGAGGAGGACCTCTGAAGCGCTAATGCCTGTGCTAATGGACCGGCTACGTAGACCCGACGTGGGAGGATATCGCAATAGTTTAAGATACTGTCGCATTAGATGACTACGAAGCTTAGACGGGCCGAAACATTGCTTCCGAAGCGTTAAGGGTAGGAGATAGACGGCCTCCTTAAAAGGGAGGAGAGACCTTTTATAATAGTCTTAGGCTTTGCCCAGTCTGTATATTGTAGCCTTACGGCCTAAGGCAGAAGGGATGGGTAGACCGTTTGCCCATAGATGTAAATAGCAGATCGCAGTAAGAGAGATCTTCTCCTTCTCTCTTTAGCAATTCAACAGCATTACCAGCTTACCAAATCCTTCGTGGTTTGGGCCCATGACACCAGGGGAAATTTATATAAGGAAAAATCGGAATGGCATATTTGTATCGCTATACCGGGATTATCGTTATCCGGGAATCGCCATAACGAGATTCTACTGCACTCCCTGACACTGTATAGCAAGTTTCCGAACCTTAGACAGAGTTCCTGGTGCGCTTGTAGCGCTCGCTACAGCCTACAGGAGATTTCGATACCCTTAGATGCCCCAAATGCGCGGACTCTCGTTGTACTAACTCTTTAAGGCCAAGCGACATAGCTCTACGAAGATGCAATCCCCTATTAATCCAGTAGCTGGACTAGCAGGAATCTACCAGCAACTGTCGACCGAGAAAAGAGAGATTAGGCTACTAATAGTCGAGCGTGCCTCCTCTACATCGTTACCTCTACAGTGTTCGATTTATAGGACATCTCTTAACAATTGTGAAAAGTACGTTGCGCTCTTATACATATAGGGGGACGAAAATGATACCGTGCCCTTGGAATTGCAAGGCCAGACGTTCTATGTCACCCGAAATCTAGAGTCCGCGCTGCGCAACATCTCGCAAATGGTGAAGAAATTGGTCATTTGGGCAGATGCGCTGTGCATCGACCAGACGGATCTCTCCGAGCGCGCTGCGCAGGTCCGCTTAATGGGCGACATATACCGCAACGCAGACCACGTTCTCATCTGGATAGGCGGCACGCAGGAGGACGGTGTTCTCGCTCTCGTCTTTATTGAAACGCTTGGTAATGCCTACTATGACCTGAAAAGCGTGGATGCGGCGGTAGACTTTATTAATAACTGCGGCGCCCCGTAATTATTACTCGACAGAGGATGGATAGCCGTAGCACAGATGTTAAAGCGCCCTTGGTGGACACGTATCTGGACCCTTCAGGAAGCAGTACTCGCTAAGGAGGTTTCCGTAATCTGCGGCACGAAGAGCATATCTTTTAATCCGTTCTACCATACACTACGCGTGTTACAGACGGATAACATCACGGTGCCTTCGAAGCTTAAGATCAAGCCCGACATAAAGGACGTAATTACGGCGGCAATGTACAGCCCATGCGTAAATGCTCGATTGTTACTGTGGGTCAATATAAGCACGAAGACAGAGGCAGTAGAACTTTTGGAGCTGCTGTCTTTGTGTCGAGTGTTTGCTGCGAAAGATGCCCGGGACAAGATTTACGCTTACATTGACCTCGCGAAGCCCATTCCTGGATTTAATATTAATTATATTACTCCCTTACATCAAGTATACACCAAATTTGTGGCCGCGTACATCAGTCATAGCAAAAGTCTTTCGATTCTTAAGGAAGCCGGACGGAATGTCTCGACCCTGGGTAGTGACAATCAATTGCCATCGTGGGTGCCCGACTGGACTAATATAGATTATCAATCTCGGCTCGAGGAGGGGCTTTATCATGCGGCCAAGGATATAGAGCCTCGGTGTTCAGTTCTAGGGAATAGACTTATGGTTAAAGGACTCTTGTTCGAACGCATCGAGATCGTTGAGCTCCTACGAGATAATGCCTATATAAACTGGTTAAGGCTAGCATTGAGCGGACAAAGTGACGTATATGACTCCATGGGTATACCGCAGCTTCAGGCATACTTTCGAACCTTCTTTACTGGCCAACATCCTAAGACTGGGGGCCGATTGGACCCAAAGGACACGTCATTCTTCAGCCCCGCCATCAGCTTCTGTACGTTCTTGTCACTCGACGAAGAAATATCGAGTCTGCTTCTACAGGAAATTAGCGCCTTTGCTACATAGTTAGGCATGCCCCTCGCTTAAGCGATGGTTGTTTTCATGCTATAGCAAGACGACCCTGATGTCGGAAAGGCTTACTAGGAATGGGAAGCAGAGACACAACGAAACGAGACGAGAGACATGGGACTAGGCCGCTTCTCGTTCACGCTAGGTGCTGCTAAGAATTGGGCCTTCATTATGACGAGCTCGGGATACATAGGACTTACTCCCAAGTGGACGCAGATAGGCGATCAGGTTTGTGTCTTGCCTGGATGCTGCGTTCCAGTGGTTCTGCGCTATGCGGAGGGATGCTATTCCCTGGTTGGCGAGTGCTTTGTCTTGGGCTTGATGGACGGGGAGATGTTGGATAGCAGTGACTGGGAGGCTCAACTACGTGACTTTGATATAGTTTGACAGGAATAAAGCATAGATAGATTCCTCCTTTATGTTTGCCTCACGATTGGAGATTCCCTACAGTGAGACCCTTATATATACTAAGTGAATTAGCTAGCGGAGCGTAAATAGAGCGAGGCATATCGAAAACTACAAAGAAAACCGACGTGTTATAACATTAATCGCTGTAAGGGTTCGAGTCAAGTGGATTCGATACTACAGTGCCTTGAGGAACTCAAGGTTTATGCCGCCCTTTGCCTGGAGGAACGAAGTTCCGTAAGGTCCTTGTGGACGCACGAGGGACAGACACAAAATCACAACCTAACCTTAATGTAAGGTCACGAGATGGTTATGGGCATAGAGTGAGATAGTCACGAGTAATAGACGAGTGGTGGACGAGTCAAGCGGTATAGATTGATAATATCTGTGCCTCAATACTTAGACTGATCCTTAAAGAAGGAGAAGGAGAAGGGTTCAATTGCCTCGTGCTCGCTAATTCTGTCAAACAGCCATGTCTCTCCATTCACAGGGAATCGGGTCCGTTGGTCCTGTAAAAAGTTCCATCCGGGGCGTCCATTGGTCGGGTCGTCGCGTAATAACTCCCATGGAACGATGGGCATGTCTCCCGCTCCGTCGTTAGTACAAAATAATAATTCAGCCATAATCTGGCGCGTCTCGAACAGTAATCCGTGGACCATACCGCGGAACTGGGCCATACTGAACTGAGTGCCCTTGTACAGTAACGTCTCGCCGTCGTTCCACTCGACATGGCCGCGAGCGGTCGTGTTATAATGGATCTTCAGCCTATACGTGCGCAGATTCAACATCCATTGCATAGGGCTTTTGCTGCCGCGAACCATGAACCCATCTATCATCCGGTTAACCTATTCCAAACAGTCCGGCTCGTCTGATTGGCGGCTCGATCGGCCGAACCGAACGCGTGGGCTAGACTATGGGAATGTTGCGGTTCTAAGGGATGTCTGGGACGACCTTTCGGGTGGGAATGCTCCTAGGGATGCTCCTAGGGATGCTCCTAGGGATAGGGACCGGTTGCTACTTTCGTACCCGCTATTACTACCCTCGAAATCGATTACCGTCCCTTGTCGATATCTATCTGGCTCTTCTAGGGGACCGGCCATATTCACAGCTTTCTGGATAACCATAAACCGGGCACACTTGATAGTGGACGACAAGATAGGTGGATATGTCTCTGGATCCCTCCATGTGTCCCCATTAACGCCTAGTACAGCTAGGACGCATACCAACGCACTTTCGTACTCGTTCCGCATGACTTTGTGGTTCAATAACTGGATGCAAAACTCTAAGCATGCTGTTTGAACGGGTGTCATCGTGGGGAACTCGTCGCTCTTGTCTAGACGTGGTTCGTCGTCGTCGTCGTCGCCGCCGTCGTTGTGGTCCTCTTCTCCCTCCTCCGTTTCGTCTTATACTTTCTCGGCCTCCGCTATTAACCGGACAAACGCCTACATCTGCGCCTAGGTGAACTTATACGCTGGACTCTCCCATTCGTGCTGTTTTTGGGTTCGGATAAAAAACATCAATATCTGTCTCTATGGCTGTGCTCGTCGGTCGATGGAATCCGGATCCTAATAGATCTCTAACGGCACATATTTCGTCTGATACTCCTCCGTCCGAACGACTTCTAACCGGATGAACATGCCGGTTTTCGATACCGTTTCCTGACTGATCCGGGTAACGTCCGTCATGGCCTTCCATACCGTTTGCTCTAATGGGTCGGTATCCTTCCCACCATCGCCAGGCTTGGCTACCGACGCCATTAAATCCTCCCGGTCTAAATCGCCTAAATACTTGTGCCATCTACTGCACGCTAACCATGGATTCGGCTCATCCTTCTCCCCAGCCTTGTTACGGCACGGTAGCTGGATGTACACAACATACACGTAGCCAAAGATATTCTAGATTAAGCTAAAGAAGAGAACAAGAAAGGGAAGCTTTCTTGTTTACATCGGAGAGGTTAGACTCTGATTTGCCCTTAACCTAATCAGGCCTAGGCTCTCAGCCTGAGCCAACCAAGGGTTTCAACCCATAACAGTCTGTGGCTGAGCCTTTGATTGTATCAATCAGGATGAACATTCTCAGAATAGTTTTCTCAAAGTCAGGTTCGATTCAAGTATACTGGAGTGTGCATCTCAAGGAATATAAAATTAGGCTACTGCATGTTGGAAGGTGCTTCTTGCACGGTTATGGCATCCACCCCAGGCCAAAAGTACTCTTTTTCCATAGCTTGACAATAAACTAGGAACAACTGCTATGTACTTTCATACCTCAATAAGCTCTCCCTGGTAAAGGACCTGCCGTTGCACGTCTTCACCATTGAGAAAATTCAAGGCACGGGTATTCTCCCGTTCTTGGGCAATCCTGATCTGTCGCGCTATATCCAGTCTCCACCCGTACTAGTGTGCTATTTCCTGTGCTATGGCGCCTCGTAAATGTTTGCATGCCCAGCAGTCAGGCTTGATGCGATGAATTGTTGTTGCTGTTGCTGCGGCTGTGATGGTTGTGCTGGAGCAACGTTTGACTGCGGTGCCTCGTAGATATATTGGTCGTGCAGCCCTGGGGGAACCGCTTGACTGTGAAGCTCTGGCTGTTGGGGAAGAGGATGGGGTGGTGGTGGTTGATTCTGTTGTTGTATAAACGGCGGAGTGGCATCTTGCTGGGGCGTGCTATATGAGACAAGAGCAGCCTCTTTGCCGTCCTCTGGATTGAGGGCTGGTATGTGCTGTTCAATAACGGGTTGCTGTGGGCCATTGGGAGGTACAGGGGGATTGTCTCGTTTCCGTCGGGAGGCGCGAATAACCATGAATACTACGAGGGCTACAACGATGCCAACCACGGCAAGACCCCCGATAACGCCTCCAACAATGGCGCCAACTGGGGTAGGCGATTTGGAGTTAGAGCCAGATGGATCATTTGAAGAAGTCCCTGAGAGATGGCCCGTTTCGGTAGTGGTCTTCATAGGTAGCTGAGTGCCTATTGAGGCGCCGTTCCTCCCTGTATATGTGGGAAAGGCGATTGCGGTATCCATGCCGCTCCATGTCATTTCCATCGTCGGGGTTAAAGGGGCGTCACGAGTAGCACAGCCAAAGCCGCTATAGCCGGAGGGGTAGACGAAGGATACGCAGTAGGCATTGTTGGGGTCGGAACTGTCACACACGAAGTATTAGCCGTATACTCCGCATAGACAATGTAAATAGGGTAAATAGGGTATATAGTATACCATGTAAGGAAGTCGGAGGGAAGGGATGCCGTTGCAACATAAAACCCAAGACAGTCTGTATAGCGATCATCCCCGACGATTTTCTTGTCGCTGTTCCAGTGGCAGGAGGGGGAGAGTGTGTAACTGTCAGCTGTAGATCCATGTTGATTAGTAGTTATCCCTAACTTAGAATTGCTAATACCGTACAATAATCGCCCCCCTGAAACCATCCACAGACATTGTCGGGAATATGCTCGGTCACGGTTCCCTGTCTTCTTTGTAACGGTGCATCTGTCGGGCGCGGGGCGAGATCAGAATCAACTGTCGCGCCGGAGCGTGTGTCCTTGTCGTAGGCGCTTGGCCATAGTGATAGGGTGGGTTGCGCGAGACTGAGGAGATAAAGAACAGTGTACATTCTGCTATAGTGGGTGTCCCCTCATCCAATGGGGAAGGATATTTGGGGTTTGAAATTCTGCCTAGAAAATAAAAGAGGAGACAATAAGATCGAAGATGACGCCAGTAGACGGGAAGAGGTAGATATAGCGCTTGCGTGGTGAATCCGTCGGTTGTAATTTGTGAATAGTCAGCTTCTCATTCGGAATTAGCGTGTTTTGTGCGTCCTACCCTTTTACCTTCATAATTTAGGCTGCTGGCGGTTACAAAATGTGAGAGAACGCTTGGCGTTTTTTTGAGTGTGTGTGTATCCCGCCCGCAATTCCACCAGAAAACGCGATATCGCCCATTTTATGACCACAACGCGCTGAATTCGGGGCTCAAATGTCTAAAATGTATATATTCCTAGAGAACTAATATAGTTTAAATTACTGACGCAATTTTAGCCAGCCTTTAGAGCTGCAGTATAACCACCATGGCGTAGAAGACACGAAACGCGCTCAATACATTAGATATTTCCTCCTAGGTTGGTCACCACAAGCTATTGCAACGGAAACTGGCCTAGGAGTTTCTACTATCTACCGCTATCGTGCACATCTTGTTCGATATAGCTCTCTTCGTGCCCCATACCGCCGGAAACGGGGCCGTCTGACACGGTTTGGATGCGTAAGATCTGCGATTACCAAGTTCCATTAATCTAAACTGAAGAGAGAGGGAAAGAGAGAATCTCCTGGCGCCTTTGTACGTAAAGTAGCGACTCTCCCCTCTGCTGCCCTAATGCAGTGTAACTATGTTTGCTTTCTGATAATCCCTATGCAATCCACCAGCCACACCTCAGTGGCTATCAGCCACACCCAAGGGCTCAGGCTACAGGCCTAGGACCATAACAATACCCTCCTCCTCCCCGAAGGCGGTTAACTAAGCTTAAGAGGTTCGTTCAAGATGTCTCGCCTTGTCTTCCGTTCGTAATCATCTAATACTACTATATCTTCAACGCACCAAGCAGCTTCCCAAGTTAGTTCCGCGTAACCTTCCCATTTACATAGGAATTCTCTTCTTAATAGTCCTCCTCTACCGCGTCCTCGTTTCACTCTGTCATCCATAATCTCTTGTAGTGACCACTCATCTTCTCCGTCTACATCGATCGGTTCTGGTTGTATGTCGTCTTGCTATTGGCTTGGGAAAGGATCCGTTGGCACTAGCCTTAGCAAGGACTTGTGGAACACGTTGTGGATACGGAGGCGCCTTTCAAAAGCTTTTTCCTGGTCTGTGCACTGTGGCGCTACTAGCGTCCTAGTAGCGTGACTTGGCAAATGATCATGAATTCCTGAATTCTATGCCAATTTCTACTCTAGATGTCTTCCCATTCAGGTTTAAGACTCTGAAATCGTCTCATCTTCTCTTGTTTCCCTTCTCTATACTCATTTCCACCCTCTAATTCTATAATCTTTTGAATATGTCTCGGAATCTTCTCTATCCAGGCCTGAATCCGTTCTTGCTCAAGCTCATCCCAGGCTTCTAGCCATGCCCTCTCAGCCTGCGCTCGATTCTGAGGAGCTCCTTTCTTCGTAGTAACTCGTTTGAGATGAGGCCATGATGGTTCAATCATGTTTAAATCTGGAGAGTTCCCTGGCCATAAGAGAGCTCGTACCTGATTTAAGGAATAGAGTCTATCCTTATGCGTTGAGCGATGAGGACTCGCTCCATCCTCTTGAATCAAGATATTAGGACGTATATCCTCAAGCTTCTTTGCGAATGGGATTAGCTTCGGGATAACAACCTGTTAATAATAGAGAAACCAATCAATCCCGCCTGTAGAGTTTCTCGCGAGTTTTCCGTGTCTCTCATTCCATTTCCAAGCTGGTTTCTTTCCTGGCTTATTCCGAAGACCCAACCGACGAAATGGCGTATTCAGCTCCCACTCAGTCTTCATAATTGGCTCTAATTCAGCATTGATCTTATCTAGAGTCTTATCATTGTCCTTGCGTTGAGACTTCGTTTCTGGTTTCCAGATATGGTAAGGACCTTTCTGATCCCACGAGAAACAACCCCAAAACATGAATTCAGAGTATCCCTTCCATCGTGGACGGATACAAGACTTGTTAAATCGTTCGTCGGGACGGCGCCAAACTCGGTATCCTCCGCGTCGAAAACCATAGACAACTGAGGTCTCATCTGACCAGATAACCTTCTTCCAATCTTCGATTGTCCAGTCTTTATGATTAAGCGCAAATCTTAGTCGGGCTTCTTTCATTTCGGCTGTAAGTCTAGGCTTTCTTGTTAGTTTGGTCTTTCTGAAGCCTGAAGACCGGAGGATTCTCTAGACGGTGATATCTGACACCCCTCCAACCTCTATGGCAATTTGAGCACAGGTTTTCTCCCGACCATATCGATCAGTACGGACCTTAGATAGGACATCTGAGGTAGTCTCTTCAGTCTGTTTCGTAGGCCGTCCAGAACGTGAGCCGTTGTGAAGGATCGAAGATTGAATTCAGTCTGATGCCTTGGGGCCTTGGGATGTGGATGCCTTACGGCCTCACGATGTGTTGCAGGTTTGCTCTGTAAACACCAGAACAGATAAACGCCTCGCACACCTTAGATAGATTCCTCCTTCATAGCAACAATTCAATGTTTGCCTCACGATTGGAGATTCCCGACAGTGAGACTCTTACAGTATCAGAATTATCACCCGCTCCTCGCCAGACAAGGACAACTCCTTGTGCGATACCTGCAACCTAGCTCAAGTCCCAAAGCGGATCTCGCGCGTACCACAACCAGAACGGCTTTATAGAACGTTCTGGGGGGGTGATGGTAACTATGGCTCGCAAAATCTGCATCGAGTCTAAACTTCCGACGTCTCTCTGGCCTGAATTTGTCGCGCATGCCGAGTATCTGCTTAATCGGACTCTATTCAAGCACCCTACTCGTAACAAGTTCATTACACCCTTTAAAATTATCGCGAAGAGGAAGCCAAACCTCTCCCATCTCCGGATCATTAGATCTAAGGCTTTCGTACGTAAAGAGAACGTAAAGAAGGATAAGATGGAAGAACGCGCTTATATAGGTTTTCTGACTGGCTACTCTACCTTAAACATCTATCGTGTCTGGGTTCCTTCGCTAAATCGCATCCTCGATAGCCGAGACGTCCGGATCGATGAGTCCATTCAGTACGACCCAGTCCTCTACGCTACCCTATCTCCTCCTTCAGACCAGGATATCTAACAGCTTAAGGTTATAGTTCCTCGCTTTAATACGGAACTTCCTCCTATTCTAGATAATGATTCCCTTGACCCTGCGCACAACGGCATCCAGCCCAAAGACCTTGACAGCCTATTATCTCCACTTCTATAGACAAGCGCTAAGGTCTAACAGCTCCTATCCAGTCCTCTAGGTCATCTTGCTACGCCTAATGCAACACCTGAACCGGACTCTCAGTAATCGTCCAGTCATCAGGCATTTCAGCCTCTTAATAACAATCCTTAGGGAGGAATCCAGAGTGATTCCGCTTCCCCTACCAATACAGGTTTCGAAGACGCCTTAACTACCAGATCTTCAGCTTATCGAGGAAACGCTCTAGTCCTACCGGGTCTCCTCTCTAATACTACAGGATATACCGCCATTCTCTATCACCAATAGTCGAGTACATAATTTGACGCGTCATTAACGTGTCAACTCATGTAACTTATTCCCAGTGCAAATTTGATAGTTATTCAATAGGTTTTGGAGGATTTAGACAGCGTTAACGTTTGAGAGGTTGTTTGCGCAGAAATTTGAATAAAAATGATATTGGGAATGAGAGGCAATCTTTCAATCGCTCTCTACCTGCAATTGAATAGGGCCCCGTACCTAGACATACGGGATATATGGGATCCAAATTCATGGCTATTCGCAGCACGGTTCAAAGCAGCGCAAAAAACACCTGCCTATGTTCTGGCATAGGAACTGGACTGAAATCTGTCTATTAATAAGCAAGACGATAGCATATAACTATAGGAAGAGGAAACGGGTCGGCCCGGAACAACAAATTCCCGGAGAGATATATGAATAAATATGAATACGAATATGAATATGAATATTGGGCATATTTATATGAATAATATTTATATTATTCATATTCGTGAAGAGCGAATATGAATATGGGCCATATTCGTATTCATTTATTCATTTCGGAGCTCTAATCCTCTCTATCATGAGCAGTCTAAGCGCGTACGACTTCAATATAATGCTCTACCACGTTATCCGCCATTCCCTTTAATTGTTCCCCGCTCGAAATAATCCCCCGTATTATAATACTTCCATCAACAAGATCTCAAAATACCTCCTCTTTCCTCCGCTTCCTCACTCACACCGACCACGCTCTAAATAGCAGCGAAAGAAACGAGAACGACCACGTTCCGTATCCCATCGTCACGCCCCGCGACGCTGCACCCGACGGTTTGGTCAAGGGTGCCGTAGGTCGCGAAGTTGAAGGATTGCTGGTTCCGTTGGATGGGCTGCCGGTAGAACTAGCGCCGCCTGCTGGAGCGCCGCTTGTGCCGCTAGAACCGTTTCCACTGCCCGTACCGCTTCCAATGCCGCTACCAGTGCGACTGCCAGTGCCTCTTCCGCTGTCAGAGCCACTTCCAGTGCCAGTACCGCTTCCGCTACCAGTGCCGGCTGGGATCCCTGGATTCTCTTGTCCAGATCCCGATCCTGATCCAGTACCAGGAGTATCTCCAGCTACCGGCGCCTCTCCACCAATCGCACTAATGATGAACCCCGCCAGCGGATCGCTCGGTGCCGCAGCGCCCGGCGCAGCGGGTGCAGCGGGTGCAGCGGGTGCAGCTCCGGGAGGGATCCTGGCGTCGTTCCCTGGGTTCGCGGGGGCGTTGGATGCTGGTTCTGCGGCGGGTTGCGCTGGAACGGAGTTGGCGGGCGGGTTTGGGTTGCCGCCGGGGTTGAGGAGAGAGGCGATGATGCTGCCGACGTCGTCGCTGGGAGAGGGTTGTTGGGGCTGGGGGGATGGGGCGGGTTGTCCGGGCTGGGGGGATGGTGTAGGTTGTTCGGGCTGCAGCGATGGTGTAGGTTGTTCAGGCTGGGGTGTTGGCTCGGGTTGGGGTGGTAGGACTGTTGGCGGCAGTGGTGTAGGCTCAGGACCGGGATTCTCCGAGTTGCCTGGAGGCGTTGGTTCGATGGAGTCGTCGAAGCTGACGCTCGTCTCGGTTAGGAAGCCGACGGTATGAATAGGTTGGACAGGATGGACTCCAGTCTGATTACAGTCGGTATAGGTTGCCAGCTCTGGGAAGAGCTCGGTATATAACCCGAGTCCATTCCTCTCCCACTTTTCGACCAAGGTATACGTAAGTCCAAGAGTGTCGTCAGATTTAGGATACTTGTGTCTGATGGTCGACAAGACGGGCAAACAGGTAGTAGCATCGGAGCCAACCGGCCAGGCGGAGATAGATGGTCCATATGCGGATGACATACAGCTTTCCCAAAGAACTTCGTCCTCTAGCCAGGTATAATAATCAGTTACCCCTGGGTATGGCGGATGAGATTTCAGTGTTAGGGTGGTACCCCCTTCTGGCGCTGTAATGCATATTGGGGCGGTATCCTTTAGACCTCCCGATGTCGTCGACGATATATTAAGGGTCCCCCCCCAGGAATACGACTCGTTATAGTCCCACCAAAGGGACGGATAGGTGATAACCTTCGTTGTATTAACCCCATTATACCCTTCGTAGGTGAACGTATTGACAACGGTCCCCCCTACATTGGTTGGCGGGGGTGTAATATCCGCGGGTAACGTGTTCGTTATAGTTGTGGTCTTCGTCGTGTTCGTGCGGTTGTTCACGATATATATAACCGTGGCCAGAGTAATGTTCCTAGTGATTGTAACCGGCACCCATACCCAAGAGGTAAGGTCAGGTGGGCCGACTGAGCAGTTAGCTGAACACGATGATTCGGGGCTAGGAGTTATGGTCATAGAGCTGGAGACATTATAGGACACTGTTTTACGGTTAGCTAACTCTTTGCCCGAAGGATTCATTTTCACACATACACTCGGCATTAGCGAGGGCGAGAGAACTGGCGAGAAAGACTATAAATAAATCCATTGCTCAAACACCCGTACCAACACTTCTATATGAACAAATAACTGGATCTAACGATAAATAAGAGAAGAGACGTGACAAAACATAAAAGGGCGCCGGGAATAATATGGGTGATCCGATATTGAATCAAGAATCGCTTGATTTTAGCAGGGGATAGTAGGTGTCATCAGCAATATGGAAGGGACCTCATAACTAGTGGTTAAGGATCTAGGATTTGGGTACGGATAGAGCGGTTTATATAGACATAGGTGAGACAGTTTGACCGCGGAGGTTGTGAGAACCACTTTCATTTATTATAAAGTTAAAGAAGGGGAACTACATATCGATTGATTGATTGGTTGGTTGGTTAATTATTCCTGTGCCCGCCAGCAGGGCCCCCAGGCCTGTCTGTAATTGTCAGGAATCAGAGGTTTATTTAGTCATCCTATTCTGTACATTAATTACATAATCCTGGGTAGGCTGGTGAGATTTTCCCCCCCGTTTTGAGATTTTCCCCCCTTCAGAAGTACCAAAACCGCCGCTTTGGAAATTTACAAGGCAATATAGCCACACTTTCAACATTATTTTTAAATTCAAAACTTAGATAGAGTTCTTTAGGACTCCCTCTTGCTCCTAGACTCCGAAATTTAATCCTAATAAGTTGTGGTGTTACGTGATTTAGGATTAAAGTTATGGTAGTTTTTTCATACAACTCACCAACTTCAGCACAAAATTAAACCACAACGCAGGGGGTATATAGAGATCTAAAATAGTAGGCTCAGTTACCCAGGCTTTAGTATTTTTCTAAGCATTTAAAAATTATATTATTTCGAAGCTGGTGTTGAGCTGTTTCGCGTTGAAGTTGAAATGTGGTGATTTTGGTACTCCTGAGGGGGGAAAATCTCAAAAACGGGGGGGAAAATCTCACCAGCCTCCTGGGTATTGTTATGGTTCCAAGCCTGTGGCCTGTCTCCTGAATGATAGTCACGTGACTAAGTCAACTGTCGAAGTTTTGGACATCGCGCACGCGTCGTAGATAGCTCTTCTTCTTTAGCTTTGCAATAAATGAAAGTGGTTCTCGTAACTTCTGCGATCAAACCGTCTCAGACTTAGGCGAAAGTTCTTCGGTGTATAGGTGACTGTTGGCTTAGTTTCGGCGACTATCGGTTCCTGAATTGCAAGTATAGGAAGCCGGGTAGGATCAATCCAGTCGAAGGTAGCCCTAGCCTTATCGTTGTTCGCATTACCGCAGTTATATTGGAGGATGCCAGTCCCTATTATTGAGCACTAGGGGTATTGTCCTTTCCGGTAGGTGTCATGTCCTCTCCGGTCGTGTCCTTTCCGGTAGGCGTCGTAAAGGTAGGAATACTAATGCCGAACATGAAGTCGTTCGGCTGACTAGCCGAGAGCTGGAGCCGCTGCTGCCCTGGGGCTCGGGCAGCCACCGTGGTTCCTGAGGGCCTCCCAGGTCCTGCCCTCTTCCGCTTCTGGGAGTGCTTAACGAGGGTGTGTCCCTCGTCGGCGTGGCGGACCTGGTGGGTTGTGACGTTTTGGTTTTGGTTTTGGCTTTGGACAGCGACGGTAGCCTCATTGAGGCGGTTTTCTGTGGCTCGCTGGCCAACTGCGAAGGATTTATATGTCGTACAGCTTCTGGTCATCCAGGTAAAGTGCCCAGGTGTTGAACGTTTTGGCGTGTCGTCAATCACGGAAGCAATAGGATACCTGTTCAGAGGCAATGCGATGCTTGTATTTCTGTAAGAAGTAGAATACAGAACGAGGTGACACGGTCTGGATGCGCAAGGTCTGCGATTACCAAGTTCCATTAATCTAAACTGAAGAGAGAGAGAGAGAGAAGAAATCTCCCGGCACCTTTGTGCGCGAGATAGCGACTCTCCTCTCCAATGCCCTACTGCTGTGTTACCATGTTTGTTTGCTTCTCTGATATAATCCACCAGCCACGTCTTCAGCCACAACCAAGGGAACAGGCCGCAGGCCTGGGACCATAACACGAGGTAGATATACCCATGACTAAGTAATAGCCGAAGAGGGGAAACGAATGACTAAGTAATAGCCGAAGCGGGGAAACGAATGACTAAGTAATGACATCAGATCTTGACACCAGGTTTCTTACACCCTGCGCACCTTGCCTCTTGAAGGTCTTGTATTATATATCCCCTTATTGTTATGGGCATGGCCCATGGTTGGCATAGGCTGAGAGCCTAAGCCTAATCAAACCTAGCGTAGAGATGGAACCTCATCAAGATTCCTCTGTCACAGCTACCTTGTACTCTTCATCTCAATCTAGAATATCTTTGGCTACGTGTATGTTGTGTGCATCCAGCTACCGTGCCGTAACACTTATAGGGTGCTGTTTTGCGCAGCGCCAACAGGTGTCACTATCCGCGTTATAAACGGACTGCGTGTAGCCCCATTTCTAGTATCGGAAGCACTAGACCGCCCGGAGAGTAACGTCCCATAGTTTAACTAGGAGCTATAGGGCGCTATAGAGGAAGCCGTCCTTGATAAGCCGCGTCACGTCGGTATCGTTAGCCACCTCGACAATAACTAATCCCTTCGTCTAGGATCCAGCCTTCCGGATAGCCGCCAGCTTCTCTTTCTTATAGAGCCAGGAGACTCGTTCAATTTTAACAGCGTTTTAGTTCGACATCTGTCTCGCCTATTCGGTGTTCCCCTCACTTTCACCGGTTATAATATGTATATTAATCGGGATCCCCATTACTATGAGTAGTTTCGGGCGACGGATCAGCTTAACGCCGTCATCCCCAGCGATTCTAGTAGCGATAATCCAGTCCCGTCGGGTAGTCGTGGGAACCACGACAGATATCTTACTAGCTGCCCTGTGGTGTGGGATAAGCGCTTTCGCGTCTAGGATTACCTTCTTGATTCTCTATAGTTTCTCTTCCGTCGTCTCTTCTACGGCCCCTGCCATTTCAGAGAGACGCACTTCAACGACCGCTTTGGTCTTCCCTCCTACGGCGATCTCGCTCTAGGTTGGTGCCTTGGTGGTTAGGGCCACGGCTGAGCGACCGCGGTCTTTCGCGATTCCAGCCTCAATACGTCTAAGACGCTCTAATATTTGACCTATCGCTGGGTCCCGGGCGGGTGTTCCCGCCTGCGCCTTTTCTATACTCTTTCTCTGTACTAGCTCCGGAATAAGCCGGAGAACGGGCGTTAGGTGAGCCTCCAGGACTCTACAGAGCGACTCCGCTCTAGCCTATCTACGGCAGCTCTCCAACGCGAATTTTATATGATATTCCATGATTTGGAGCATCCGTCCCTCATCCATCCGTCCAGTTTGTTCTCCCACTCCGTTGCGGGTGTTGGGTCGTGGGTAGTCCGCCTGCTGGAGACGCGTCCCCGACGCGTCTTTGGCCTGCGGGCCCTTCCCCCTCGTGCGCCCTTCAACCATGATAGTTGAGGAGGCTGCAATAGTTGATTATAGGTGAATAAGGTGTGTAGAATCGATTACGACCCTAATCTCAGCGAATTTCCAAGTTGTGGGCTGTCTGCAGAAAAATGTTCTTTTTTCCGCAAGTTTATTAAAGAATATGAAACGAGACCTAATTCGAAGGCGAATGGTACCATATGGCACAGGCGCAGGGTATGGCTTTTTCAGGAGCGGCGGGAAATGTATAGATGAAGCTATTTGTCTTGTTCTCTAATAACATAATTGATTATGTGGAGAATACTCCAATCAAGCAAAGATCACGTATGAGAGAGAAGAGCGATGTTTTGGATGTATCTAAAATACAGCGCGAAGAGATAGAGATAGTGTCGCAGGCCAAGGCATGAGCTCTAGGAGTCCAAGGCTACAAACTGCATTAATAATCTTGCCGTGACTCTCGTATATCTGTAGGGCCGGGGGACCAGGCATTCAGCTAGAAAACACAACTTACACACAACTTACACAACACACAATAAAAACAACTTCGCTGCTGTAACAACAGCACCTCACTCCCAACCATTTTTAGCACATCACGTGCGACAGATAGACATCTCCGAGCAAACACAAACCATGTGACCCAACACACACTGAAGTCAGGTGACCTCCGTGTGACAGATTATAACTATATGCATGTGCAATATTATGTTTTGCAAAATACTGCGGCCATTCCGTTTGATCATACCAAATCGTTCCGTTTAATTTCCACCCGCATTTCCTTCTCACGTATCTTCGACGTGCTCTTCCATTCTTCAAACAGTTTCGTCTACCTCGGCTCTCTTCTCTTTTGGGGATGTTTACATTGCCAGCTTCCTCATCACTTGCACGCCTAACAGGTATTGATCGCTCACGGACTAGATCGTGAGTAGTCTCCGTCACATAAGTTCTCTTGATCTTAAATAATTAATAATAGTCGATAAGAGACTCTACACAAAACAAGCTTCGATATTTTGTACAGCTATTTAATCCACCCATAAGCTATTAATGATCTAGTACCTTGAGAAAACGGCCCTATCGGGGACATTGGCCTGTCTGAACCTGCCAAACCGACAATCAAACGCCAGTAATGCCTCACGGGAGAGACGTATATGCGGAGTCGAACTTCTTATATCCCACACCCTGGACGAAAGTCTGCATCCACGGGCCCTGCGTCTTGCCGTGGGCTAGGTCCCAGTAGAGTTCCGCATGTGCATCACCACTGATTTGGTATCTGGCCGCTCCGTCCGCCTTACGTTCGTCGGCATAGTAGAATCTTTACGTCGTTAGTCTCTCACGCGCGAATTCCTGAAGTAGATAGAGGGCTTACTTATATCCACGATCTTTGTAGGCCTCCGCGGCCGCCCAGATCATGTGAGCGGCGCCCGACTTACCGATGCCCTGGGACATGAATTTCGGGATGATGGCGACGTTGGTGATATTGCCGGTGTAGATGAAAGTGCGCGCAGCTGACGCTGGAAGCTGTGCAAAGCCCAAGACTGCCTGTTGCGCGGCGACAAAGGCACTGAAGATGTTGATATTCGTAACGTGATTCAAGTCGGCCAAGGAGAGGCTGAGCGGGTCGTCGGCGGGGGTAAAGCTCGCGGCGCTGGCTGCTACGCGTTAGTCAACGGTAACTGCATGGTAGGGGACGGGGGCTGACCGTTATATACAACGACACTGGGGATGCCGAATACCTGCTTTACCTTGTCAAAGGCATTGAGTATACTATCAGTGTTGGAGAAGTCGCTCGGGATGTTCAGCTGGTCGTCGGTGCTGTCAGCCTCCTTCAGCGAGCGGGCGGCAAGCGCGACTTTGTAGCCCTGGGACGCAAAGGTGCGCGCGACGGACATGCCAACATTGGCGCCCGCACCGAAGATAAGTACAATAGGGGATTTGGCGGCCATTGTTTGATATTAGGTAGACTAATAATAAATTATTTGGGAGTGTTTCGTATTTGCTCGTGCCTTAAAGGGCGAAGAAGTTAGGTATAAGGGTTGTCGAGTATGAAGTCTTCTGAATGCTATACATGGCTGAGTTGATGGATATAGTCGTACTTATAGTCCTCTGTACTCTTACTTCCAGTAGTAAATAACTCGCTTATATTAATTCTTGTCATGCCATACCACGTCATGGCCGTCGTTACTGTGAGGGACAGACATCTAATGCTTGGCGTCGCGAGGCGTTTGTTGGTACGTGCGATCATATTGCCCAGAAGCGGGAGAGGCAATCGCAAGAAGCAGGGGTCAATCTTCCTACATTTGATCTCATTCACAAGCACGCAATCTCCTTCGACCCGGAAACGCTGAGTAATAGACACCCGCGAGGCCGATTTCCAATCTTTAGCCCAATCGTAACCTATTACTAACTACTATTCACATACTATTGATTAAAAGCTGCGACTTAGATTTTACTCGTAGCCATTTATCAGCCTGGGCAATTAATAAGCAAAGAGTAAGTTTGTAATCTTCTCTCGTGGCCGAATAAATAGTTGATATAAATGTTTGGCGTTATTCCTCTTGCGGCTCAATGCGCGAGCTATAGTATAGTTCGGACCGCCCCTGCATGCATTGTGGAGAGACCTCAGATTTCTTGGTCATCCATCAATCATCTCAGGCAGGGGCTCATATTTAAAAGTACTATTTAACAGTACTTATAAGTGCTTCAGAAACTTCATCTTGTCAACATTCCACCAACTCAGCAAAACAATCAACTACAATCCTTTACAATGGCACCTCAAAGCATCTTTCTCGTCGGCGCTGGATATGTCGGACAGAACGTCTTCGATCAGCTTCTTGCAGCGAAATATCCAGTCACAGTCTTTGTACGGCGGCAAGAGCAAGCATCAATATTCGAGGAGGCCGGGGCAAAAACCGTCCTCGGCACTTTAAGCGATCTCGAGCTACTCACGAAGCAAGCCGCTCTGCATGAAATAACCATAAACACTGCATCATCCGACGACTTGCCAAGCGTGGAAGCCATACTGTCAGGCGTGCGCCAGCGTGTTCATGCGGGCCTGCCGAGTATTTATATTCATACGAGCGGATCAGGCGTGCTCGATGATGGTGCAATGGGAATGCACAAGGACGGTAAAGCCTACGGCGACGATGTTCCAGGAGACATCGACGCCTTGCCGCCCGCTTCCATCCACCGCCACGTGGACATCCCAATCGTCCAAGCAGCGCATGAGTTTGGGGAGAAGGCAAAGATCGCCATCATTCTTCCTGCACTTGTCTATGGGGTGGACCGGGTCCATAAGCGCAATTCTTTTGTGCTGCCGATTCTGGTGCGCTTTACGTTGAAGCATGGGTTTGCAGGCCATGTGGGTGAAGGTCGAAATATATGGAGCGTCATTCACGTCAAGGACCTTGCGCGCGCCTATATGACGATGTTGGCATATGTTGAGAAGTCCGCACCGGCAGCCATCCTGGAGAATCCATACTTTTTCGCCGAAAACGGGTCCGAGGTCTCAATGCGTGAGGTTGCAGAAAAGCTTAGCCAAGTTCTGTTCGAGGCTGGCAAGATCAAGGGTCCTAAGGTACAGACATTTACTGAAGCCGACTACGCGGATATTTTGGGCCCTATGACTCCTGTTCTTGGTTGTAATGCGAGAACTCGTACGATCAGGTTACGGGAATTGGGTTGGGAACCCAAGGAGAAGGATGTGTGGACTACTTGGAAGGAGGAGGAAGTTCCAGCGATGTTAGCTGCAATGGACTCGGCGTGAGAAGGGAAATGAAATCCTCTCATTCGCGTATTCATAACCTGGCTTTATATGATTAATCTTGTTTACACAAATAGACGCTACATCTGGAAACAATTGATTTTTATTTATTAGTTATATACCGATGCAAATAAGCTATCTACAATATCCACGTCTGCCAATCTCTGCACGACCAAACCCTACCGGCTGGGATATTGAAGTCATTCAATTGTATAACTAGTAGGTTCTGTAGTATATAAGAAAACACAGCTTGAGATGGGGAGAAAGGTATTTTGATGAGAGGCAGTTGTTTTTTGAACAGGTTTATCATCAGATTAGGATAGTCTTATTGAGGTACGGGTATAGTCAAATGAGAGCATCGTATTGCATAGTATTTGTATGGATAGCTGTGGTAATAATCGTTGAAATAGCGAGGGTAGAATGCCTCTCAAGAATTACAACGAAGAAGCTGCATACTCAGGCAGTCTGATTATATATAGTGACTTCTAACCATTAATCCATCCTTGGGGTCTATGGAAGGAGTTATCAATAGATTCCATGTTAGGAATTCTACCATCAAAGCACAACAGTATCGTCTACAATGCGATCCTAGTATTTATGGTCTGCTACTCGTAAATGGCATTATATATTCTAGTAAAAAAGAGCATTACTGCTCTGCAAATATTAGATATATTGCTTGGAAAGGCTATCCTTAAGTTTAGATGCTCCGATGGTACTGTATCAGACAGGCATAGTAGACTCTGGGTATAATTTGATCCGTTATACCATATCAAACAACAAACAACCCAGAACCTCTCCACCAAAAATATATAGAAATACATCCCATCTTCCTCATCCTCCCAAGCCTACCACGAAGTCTTAAACTCAAAACCAGAGCTATCAAACGGCCAGCCAACAAGACCAATAATGGAAAGCCTGCTACCGGGCTCGAGCTCCTTAACCTGTGTCTTAAGCTCATCCACATCCCAGTTCGTCTACACAAACTTGCCGTTCAGGAAGCGCGCTTCGGGACTGGCAAGCCAAACGTTAAACCCGCCCGGCAGGGAAACTAAGGTATCATAAAATCACCAATTGTTATAAGATATTCTGCCTTGTTTGCAAAGCACCGGTCGGGGATTCCCTAGTCTTACCATTATATTCAATGCCTGTAGCCTTAATCCCACCGGCCTCCCTATTCATCGCCGTATCCACAATACCAGGTTGAATATGAAAAACACTCATCTCAGGATGATTAAAACTCAAGTGATCCCAGAGTCTGAAGACGGCGAATTTAGCAATACAGGGGTAGAGTAATAGGGAGTTGTGCAATTTGTGAAGGCAGAGCGGAATGTCGATTCGAGGGGTAAAACGTTGCGTTGGTCAGCTTCGTATTTCTTAGCACCGATTGTGCGATGACCGAATAGCTTAGGTAGACATGTGGTATATTTTTATTAGGCGAGACAATTTGAACCGATGCCAAAGCAAGTAGGCAAATACGTCCTAGAGGTTGTTGGGGAGAGAGAGAGAGAGAGAGAGATTCATACGCCCGTCAGGCCTCTCAGCGAGGCCCATGTGGGGAACTACCTAAGCTGACTAATTACATGCGTTGGTGCCTTGTGGCCTTGTGCCCCATTTTTCCATCTCCTTCTTCTATCTTCTCTAATTATCGGCTTCTAACATAGGAAATTATTATAACTGTGGTATGGGAATAAGATGGTCAGTTTGCTGGACGTCTCTGTTCCTCTAGGTTCTGTTCTAGAGTGACGCTGCTCTTACTCGGGCACAGCGTCGGATCGGAGGATTGAGACCATATAGTTAGTAGAAGGGAAGGTATGGGAGGGAGGGTATGGGAGGGAAGGTATGGAAGGGAATGTGTAGGAGGGTATCATGTTCCGGGGTCTAATCTTCCAGTGTCCTGGATGAAATGTAGTGTTGCCGTAACTACCTCTATGTTCGGGGACCAGCGCTTGATCGGGCCGTCTTTTGCTTCTGATTCGTATGCTCCAAGGAGGTAAGCCAGGTCTCTTGCTCGGGCTCCAGCCGCTGTCTTCAGTTTCTGTCTCTGTTCTTCCCATTTCGTGCATTCCAGTATGAAGTGGTGGACACTCTCCGTTGCTCCGCATTCGCAGTCGCTGCTTTCGGCCGCCGCGATCTTGTGGAGATAGCTGTTAAGGCGGCAGTACCCTGATCTGACTTGTACTAGTAGGGCTGCTTGGTCTCTCGATAGCTTGTCGTAGAGCTTTCTTATGTGCCTGCTTGGTAGTGCTTTGTCGAGCTCCTTCGCGAAACGCCCGGTCTTTTTGGCTAGGATGTCAAGGGCCCAAACCACGAAGGATTTGGTAAGCTGGTAACGCTGTTGAATTGCTAAAGAGAGAAGGAGAAGATCTCTCTCACTGCGATCTGCTATTTACATCTGTGGGCAAACGGTCTACCCATCCCTTCTGCCTTAGGCCGCAAGGCCACAGCACACAGACTGGGCAAAGCCCAAGACTGTCACATAGGAAGGCCTTTCTCTTTGCCTCTGGGTGGCTCCTTCCTTGCTTGATCGCATGTCTCAGTACTATGGTGTGCTCTTCCGGTCTAGATCCGGTTGCAGTGGCAGATTGGGCGAGGTCGTGAGCTCTCTCGTTACCTTGCACTCCCTTGTGCGCTGGCACCCAGTGGAAGGTGAAGGTGAACCCTCTTTTCTTGGCCTCTGCTAGTTTCTGGAAGATCTCCTGGAGGGGTTTACTCTTTTTCCATTGTGGTCTTTTGATCATGCCTAGGGCCTTCTAGCAGTCGGATAGGATATAGCATTGGTCGAGGTTCCAGCCTATTACCGGGATCTTAGCGGTTGCTTCTGAGATGGCTTCGGAAATAGCTATAAGCTCCGCTTGGAGGGCGTCTGTACTCGGTGCAAATCCTATTATACTAGATTTCTCGAGTCCTGGGATATTTGGTGCGTGAATTCCGATACCGGTAAGGCCGTTTCTGCATGATCCGTCCGTAAAGATAGTTCTGAGGCCGAGCTGGGCTGCCCTTGTTATTGCGGCCGCTTCCTCTTCGATGATGACTCTTGGCGGGTCTTGCCACGGCGGCTTGACGAATCCTGCTGTCTTCTCAAGCGATTTCAGATTGATGTGTTGGAAGAGCTCGGCTGTAGCTTCGAGTGGGGATCTGTGTGTCTTAGCTTTAAACAGACGCTTGATGAGTCTCCATCCGTAGTGATTCTGTGGTTTTGTATGTAGAGGTTGTTGGGGCGGTCATGGGGCACGGATAATGCATTGGTTAGGCATATATGTCGCACGTGATGTGCTAAAATGGTTGGGAGTGAGGTGCTGTTGTTCCAGCAGCGAAGTTGTTTGTATTGTGTAAGTTGTGTGTAAGTTGTGTGTTCTAGCTGAATGCCTGGTCCCCCGGCCCTACAGATATACGAGAGTCACGGCAAGATTATTAATGCAGTTTGTAGCCTTGGACTCCTAGAGCTCATGCCTTGGCCTGCGACAATATATTTCCCAAAAGGCTGCAGTGTTGCTCGCGCATTGAGCCGCAAGAGGCATAGCGCCAAATCCTGTGCGGGGTCTTCTATAAAGAGGCTAACAAACTCCACCCAAAGATGATGTTACACGAGACTAGTTCCATGATTCGAACCAAGGGCTTATTAGTAAGAGAACGCTAAGGCGACAAAGTTGTTCGCGCATTAAGGGGCAAGAGGCGTAGGACATACAAAGCAGCGATAGAGATTCATCATATAACTCTGGCATTTCATCCTTGAGTCACTCGCAGAATTAGAGTAAGCAAGTCTTGGCTAAATACATGTGATTTGCCTGGGCGGATTTTAATTCATCCGACTACTACTGTATACATCTGAAGATCCGAACCATTATCGCAAGGAAAAGCAGTGTTAAGACGGAATTCTTATATTCAACGGCCAAGCGACCCGGTGGCAACGCAGAGTATGGTGAACGTGGCCGGGAGATCAAAAGGCTGCTCCACTTGCCGCCAAAGACGAGTCAAATGCGGTAAGCACTACCTGGAGATCGCCAAATGATAATAGTAAATTGACCCTCTCGAAGATGAACGTCGTCCTATCTGCGTACGATGTGAAAAAGGTGGCTTCGAGTGCGATGGGCCGAAGGAGGTCTGTTTTATCAAAGGAACCATTGTCAAGTCTAGACGCAGTCTACACCAGACACCCCCATCAGCCCCACTCAATGGCAACGAGTTCGAGAGATATATATGTTTTATGTTAAAGTACACGACTCGTGGCGACCCCATTGAGGTGGCTACCAGGAATATGGCGTCCATTGGTGTTTCACTAGCCAATGCGACAGTATCCACCAAACGAGTCTCCCACCAAGCTATCATGAGCTTCGCCATGATTTTTTTTGGCACCGAACACCGACGAAACTCCATCACCAAGGGCGGGTACGCCGTGTACGGCGTGGCATTGAAGCAGATAAACCATTCACTATCCGATCCGATCTGCTATAAACACAATGAACTCATCCTTTCCGTTCTTACTCTGGCTATACTAGAAGCCCTCGTGCCTACGGGGATGGGAATCAATTTCAAACACATGAGAGCAGTAGAAAGGCTGCTTCAACTGCAGGACATTAGCTCGCCGATCCCGGCCCACTTGTCAGCGCTCTATCTGCACGTGCGACATCTGGCTATCTTCTCTGCGCTGTGGGTAAGAGAGCCGTCTATTCTCGCGCGGCCGGATTGGAAAAGAGTCTTAAGGTCATCATGCTCAGACGAAGAAAGAGAGCAACAAGAATTATACGATATCCTGGCAGACTGCACAGTCCTGTTCGCTATACGCGATAAATTACTGGCGAAGTGGCGACTACATATTGACAAGCCTCCCGACCAACATACTGCGCTGAAACAGAAAGTACAGAATCTATCGATGCAGCTCTGTGCCTGGAGACAGCGATGGGATAGCGACGAAAGGAATTCCTACTCCGCGACGCCAATAGAAGGACCTCGCCCCGATGACCTCATGCCTTTCACCACCATTTTTACTTTCCGCGACGAATCTATCGCAATCATGTTCATGTTCTACAACATCATACTAATCTACATCCTCCAACTCCTCCTAACTCTCGACTTCAAAAACCCCAGTTTCTACTTAAAGTCACACCATACATTACACGACTACCTACCTTCAAAGCCTACCCGCGAAGACACCGAAAACCGCTACATTACCGCACAGCGCCTAGCAGTCTTAGATATATGTCGCAGTATTCCGTATCACTTGGACCAGGTATCTCTGGCGGGATATGAACCTTCGCCAATTGCACACTGGGCTCTTGCTACCGTTTGGGTGAAAGTGGGTGGGGATAGGTCTGCGGAGGGGAAGTGGTTAGCAGCGTTGTTCATTGCACAAAATCCAGTGCTTGCGAGGATCGTGACGGCGTTGGCGAGTTGATGGTTTTCTAGGGTTGATTACTGTTGATCGTTTTGGCGTGTCAATCAATCACGGAAACAATAGGATACCTGTTCAGAGGCAGTGAGATGCTTGTATTCGGTCAGAAGTACATAGTTTACCTTGACGGGTATATATATCCAGGCTTATGTAATCTTATGTAATCTACAAGGTGCGGTGACTAAGTAATAGCCGCGGAGTTCCGACAGCTTCAGTCTCAAGATGTACGTCGAGAGCGTCCTAAGCGTGCTGCTGCAGAGACGGCTTCAAATGCTTGGAAAGGACTCGGCCCGCGCAAGAGACAGCGACGTTAGTATAATCTAAGTACTTTAATGCATGAATACGACGAGACATCGGAATACGCTTTAGATTCTTCTTAGTCAAGGCCTCAGAGCCCTCAAAAGCGCTTATAAAGATAACACGTAAAATATTTCCACGCTAGTAATAATATGACTAGCGTGGTGGACAAATCTCAAATGGTGGACAAATCTCAAAAAGTGGTGGACAAATCTCACCAGCCAATTTAAATTCTATCAGTCATTTGAAGAAATATATATAAATTACTGAAATTCAACCACCCTAGCCGAGGCGAGCTACAACTCGAATGAGAAACCTTTGAACCCTTGCGGTCTGCCAGTTCTTAAAGAAGCCTTGCGGTCGCATTAGCGTACAGATGACAGGGTGTACAGGCCCCACAATCTCCGACGCGGCGGCTCCGTCCGGGGCTAGGACCCTAAACGAACCCCCTGCCACCTGGAAGGAGGGAATGTGCTTGTATGTGTCCTCTGCGTCCAGTAGTTTGATTGGACTAAGAAACTATTGATATGGATCATGAGATGCCGAATGCTTGTGAATTCTCAAGGTCTTCATGGGCGAGACGTCCTCGAGCTGGGACGATATCTGAAGACAAGACATCGTTATCCAATGACACCCTATTTCGCAGAGAAGGGTTAGAGGCATGCTCTACCCAGCACACCTTTTCATATTTATTGCCAGACAAATCCGACGCTCTTTGATCAACCTTTCCAACCGGAGATGCACCATAACTAATCTTGGCATGGATGGGTATTATCTATTATTCAGTCGTTCATCCCCATTGTTGCGGCCCAGACCTGGCTTTCGATCTGTTGAAGCTCCGGTCTCTCGAATTTCAGTCCTCATTCATGTTCACCTTCGTATCTATTTTTTTCGCTGCACCAAGTCTACGGTACCTAATGGCCCTCTAGTTCTATATTGTATTGTATACATGTACCGAATATCGTAGATATATTTATAACTTTGATGTCTCTTATGGTCCGTTACCTGGAATTTAAGCATTTATCATCAGCGCCCCCAACTTCCATCACGTCACAATCGAAGCCTATCCCAGTGGCGGGCTCCGGGGCGTACTAAATATTTCCCTTCTCAACCCACGTGGAACCAGCGACCTGATAAGCTAGAAGATCATTGCAGTTCCATCCCTAGACCTAGTACACCTACGAGTAAACGATAGTCCCTAATATCAGCACACCGTCGCATACTCGCATGAGGGTCTGTGGTGTTCGCGTAATACTCGGACGGATTTTACCCCACAGATTTGGGTGCCTCGGGCGGCACGCGGCGAAAGGAAATATTCCCATCCCTACCACCACCACAACCACTAATACAGCAGAGGGATCTCCCTCGCCAAATCACCATCCATAGTCACGTATTATGAGATTAGATATGATGAAATACGTCGATTTATACTATGTTGGCGGTTATATGCTACCTTTCAGCAGTCTTTATATTAAAATGATGTGTATTAATTATTTGTAGAATGCATTAAATCCTACAGGTTTTTGTGTGGGTGCGGGTGCAATTCAATTTGGCGATGCGAATATTTCCTTCCCCCGCGTGGGCGGGTAACAGTATCCGTAACCAAAGTTCCAGCCCCTGGAAGATGCGGGGTGTGGGGTAGCAGAGCCTTGGGAACTAGAAGCTGCTAACCTTGGGACTAGAAATGAGGGGTGATGCGATAACAGGGAACAATTTTGTTTATATCAAAGCGGTATCGGTCCACCTTTTTGACGTATAGGATCAAGATTGTGGCAAATCAATACTACAAGATTGCTAAATCAAGTCAGTGCAAGTGCCCCTTTTTCAGTTGAGTGGGACAAATATCCAGGATGTACGTTGGATGGTCGATGAAAGCCCCCAGATTCAAACGTATTGCTAACCGCTACAAGAATTATGGCAACAGATATTGAACGAGGCGTTCCGGTCACCCTCGATCCCCTGGAGAAGAACGTCAACGTGGTGGAGAAGGTTGCGGAGATACTTCAAGAGAATGCTCTTCCATTCGATCCCGTCAAGCTCAAGGAGAAGTACGATGAAGAAAGAGAAAGGCGTCTGAAGCATGGCAAAGGAGTGGAACAATATCAGATGGTTGATGGTAAACTTCTGCATTACCTTGAGGTAAGTCTTGCTTTCTCTAGGTACTGAATTAACTGACTTCTAACTTCCCCCGAAGGACCCATGGGTTAAACCTGGATTTCAGCGTGACCCTATCGACGAAGAAGTCGAGGTCGTGGTCATTGGAGGCGGTTATGGCGCCCAACTTATTGCTGTTCGTCTGCTCGAGGCTGGTGTGGAAAATATTCGGTTGATCGAAAAGGCTGGTGACTTCGGTGGAACTTGTATCCCTCCCCCCACACCTCCCATTAGTCGACGACCATTCTGACCTTTAAACAGGGTATTGGAATAGATATCCCGGTGCTCAGTGCGATGTTGAATCGTACATTTACATGCCCATTCTGGAGGAGGTCGGTTATATGCCCACTGAAAAGTACGCTCGTGCGAAGGAACTTCTTCGACACTCCCGGATTATTGGAGAGAAATTCGGCCTCTATCCACGAACACTTTTCCAGACCGAGGTCAGCACCATGCATTGGGATGATACAAATACCACCTGGACAACCAAAACGAGTCGCGGAGACTCCATCCGATCTCGATTTGTCATCCCCGCAGCAGGCCCCTTGCACCGTCCAAAGTTCCCTGGAGCCCCCGGAATTGAGTCTTTCAAAGGACATAGCTTCCATTCTGCCAGATGGGACTATAACTACACTGGAGGTGACTCAGATGGGGGCCTGAGCAAGCTTTCGGATAAGCGGGTAGGGATCATTGGTACTGGTGCTACTGCTGTACAGATCGTCCCGCACTTGGGCGAGGCCGCCAAAGACCTCTATGTCTTTCAGCGAACTCCCTCGTCAATCGACGTTCGAGGAAATAAACCTACTGATTCTGCATGGGCCAAGACACTCAAGAAAGGGTGGCAAAGCCACCGAATGGAGAATTTCGACATGATGGTCAATGGAATCATGCAAGAAGAGGACCTCGTCGGCGACGGATGGACCGATATCATCGCGAGATTGCTGGTTCCGAGAAAGACCTCGGAGCCGATCGATCCAGCTCAGATGGCCATTGATCGCCAAATGGCCGATTTTGAAAAGATGAATCAGGTTCGCGCTAGATGTGACGCCATCGTCAAGGATCCAGTAACGGCAGAGAGTTTGAAGCCGTATTACAATCAATTTTGCAAGAGGAAAGCAACGATGTCTGCCCCAACTCATTCAAATTGCTAACTGTATGACAGGCCTTGCTTCCACGACGAGTACCTTCAGACGTTCAATCGTCCAAACGTGCACCTGGTTGATACGCATGGTGACGGAATCCAGGCATTCACGGAGAAGGGAATCATTGCTAATGGCGAAGAAATCGAACTCGACTGCATTGTCATCGCCACCGGTTTTGAGCTATCAACAGATTGGAGCCATCGTTCGGGCATGGAAATTTACGGTCGGGACAATATATCTATCACCGAGAAGTGGAAGAAGGGTGCCAGCACCCTCCACGGCTGGGTAAGTAAATGATGTCCTTCCCACTTATTTGACTGACGATCCCTTGTAGGCAAGCCGTGGCTTTCCGAACTGCTTTTGGGTTTCTATCGTTCAAGCTGCGCTCACTCCCAACTTCATGCATGTTACTGCTGAGCAAGCAAGGCATATTGCGTATGTGATCGCCGCCTGTCGAGCTCGCAATATTCGAGCAATTGAGCCATCAGAAAAGGCTGAGCAAGACTGGGTTCAGAAGATTCTCGATGCGACCCACTTGCGGGCAGATTTCCTTAAAGAGTGCACGCCTGGTTATTACAATAACGAAGGGAAGCCGTCCGAATTTGCTGCCCGAAATGGGTCCTATGGTGGCGGTGCTCCAGCATTCATCAAGATTCTGCAAGAATGGCGAGCGGCTGATAACCTGGAAGGTCTGGAAACGAAGAAGATTGAGACCTGAGAGTTTGAATTCATTGCTTGTCCGGAGTTGTACTTCTGAATTGTCCGTTGTTGATCTCACATATCCAATTAGATTCGTCCGGTATGCTAAATCCGTAATATACATTACTAGCTTTATGACTCCCTTGATGATCGTCCAAACACCTCCAATAGCTAGAGAGATGTTGTGGTAATTTGCCTGGTCAATATGGCACCCAACTTCTTAGAGTTAGTCTGTCAAAGCTTTTGTTCCTAGTGCGAGGCCCCAGATGCTGATGTCCGCAATGGCCTTTTAAATTCAGTCAAAATGGGGGTTGGGGCCTTGCCAGTGGATATTCTGGGTCTTATTCCAGTGAACTTGGCTGCATAGGAGGCGATGTACCCGATATTCATCACATCGTTGATCCCAAAAATATAAAGTTGCACAATTCAACTCAATATGAGAGTTCCGTAAAGTTAGGATATGTCACCCGCCTTAGCAAATGGTTCTCGGTCCAGACGGCATATCCTATAGCCATAATGCCGGAAAACAGTATCCACTAGTATGGGGCTGAAGCAGAGGGCGAGCAATTCAAAAACGCGCGGGAAAGTAACCGAATGTGGGACCTATTAGTACAGCAAGCACATTGTGGGCGCACACGGGAAAGTACCATTTGTGGAGCCCTTGGCGTGCTACGAATTCCGGTGAGATTGACCATGGCCCTAGAACTGGTCCGCTTGTCCTCACCCTTCCGTCAGATCTCAAGGTATGCGGAGTCCCAACCGCTTTGAACACCTGAAGTTCGTAATTTGCTACATATCTGGCAATGAGGCAGCTGGGCTCAGTCCTTGAGAGCCAGTCGTACGGATACTGCACTGAATTTACTGAAGCTGCGCCTCAACTGCGTTGGGGTCCTGCAAAGGAGAACAAGTCGTGGGATGAACATAGACCCCAGTACGCTCTCCCTCGCCTAGTGAGCTCGTTCTGTATTGCAGCTCCGAGTAGAACTCCTGGCTCAATACTCGTTCTTGTTGGATACTGACCTTGCGGCTAATGAATCCCTTTTGCATGCAGTCTAGGCCTAGAAGTCGTTTCATTTGGAGACAGGAACTACGGGCGGGGCCAATGTGAGAGAATAAAGTCGACTTCTGCATATGCAGCAACAAGCGATAGATACACCGAGCCTATAGTTAGAGACTTGAAAAGTTTGAATAAGTTGAGCGCCCCTGATGTATGTCTACCCCACTCCCTGCATTCATTCGAATATAAGGATATTTCCGCGACGATTTGTTTCGGAATCCTTTTAGCGAATTCTATCCGAAACCGGATGGTTTTTTAATCCTACTCACGCCATGGATAACATCGGACTCTCCATGCATTGCCAAGATCAATTCCTCGTGCCCACCAATTCATGAAACTGAATACTTCTCTATTGTTAAAGAACCGCACCATATACCATCCACCTCGGTGTTCTGCACGTCCTGGTGCCCCGGTCTGGCTTTCGATCTCCTCCTAAACTCGGCGAGAGACTTGGCAACATCAAAATCCGGATGCTCTTCGATTAAAACCTTAGACTTCCATACGGTGTGAAGTGGCGACTCTTGAAAGCCCGAGCTAACCCGCTCGTTAGAGAAGAATGAAAAATCGTCTTTGATTAGTTGGTCGAACGAGTTTATGCTCTCATCGTTCTCCATTGATTCGTCGTGGTTTCGAGCTCGCCTGTCCATACGGCGATGTTCTTCCCTATCGCTGCTCATCTCGAGTTTAAGTGACTGCAACGATACGTCAACAATGCGCGGCTTTTGGCGATCACCTAGGGAACTTCTCGGTTGGCGACTCGCAAGGGCGTTCGGAATAGCCTCCGATGGATGATGGATAGTAGAAGTTTGATAATGACACGGTTCGGCGGAGACCTGGATTTCCTGGTACTGTCTCGAGATCCGCACCCAATCACCCGCAGTCTGTAGGAATGCTTTCAAGCAAGAACTTACATGACCACGGGTACTTTGGCTAGGGAGGTCGGTCAATACCAGCCGCTCAAGGGAGACCAAAGCGGCATCAAAAGAAAAGGTCCGGTGCTGATTGTCTGGGGTTAAGTTTTGTTGCCATTGGATGCCTTCGTGCGGGACGGTGGATGGAGAACCGGAAGACATATGAGAGGGTTGTCCGAAGCCGGTGGTGGAGGGTGCCGGGGGATGTGAAGTATGGGGAGGAGTCAAAAAGAGACGATCCCTCTCGATGGTCTCGGAAGCGGTGTACCTGTCTTCCCTCTCCAAGCCAGGCGCCGAATCCCATGCCGACGAGAATCCGGTGACAACATAATGGGGACACCGCAAGTCTCGCAAAGTCGAACAACGCTTCAGAGAGGATGCGATTCCCTTCGAATCTTTGATATCTTGTAAGATAGCGCGGATGCCAAAATCCGGTTTGCCATATTGATTTTGTACTCTTTTACTTGATGAGTGTCGACCACAGCCAAAGCTCTGGAGAGGCAACGCGTCAAGTAGACCGGCGCATTGCTTTAGACTGACTCGAGTGCCAGAAACGTCAATATGGGTCAGACCATGGTAATCGGCTATTGAACTCCAGGTATTCTCCAACCGTATGTTCCGAAAAATGGATACCATGCTGACCAGGTCATGCTTGAAAATCGGATTTTCGAGTCTACCCCGAATTTTAGACTCGATAAAGCGAGGGATATCCACCGTATCATCGCCAAAGTCAAGATGGCTACCAATATGAAGCGGAGTCGGTAGATGATAGGTATACGGAGGTGGCGGTTCCAGAGTTGGATTACCAGGGATACCAATCAAACTTCCTACGAACGCGTCCCCTACGTCGCTGTCTCGAAGGTCCAGGCAGTGATAATAGGACCGTAAAGATCCGTTCCCATCCAGAGCCTGGTCGAGCTGAAGTGTTATGCTCATTTGCCGAAGCTGAAGAATCCGAAGTGATGGCCTCCGCAGTTGTGCCCAAAGGGACGATTTATCAACATCCGGAGTCCGGTTCCCAGAAACGTCAAGATACGCCAAATCTGGAACTCGTTGCAAAAATCGCGAGAGTGCATCGAAAGTTAGGTTAGGACAATAGGATGCATCAAGAAGTCGAAGCTTGCCATGATGGGGAACTCGGCCATTGATCGAGTCAGAGTCAAATATGGCTGAATGAGCGACAATCAAACAGCGAAGGTTGGGCAGGCTTGAGAGCACGATGGATAACCAGTCCCTCGGCATAGGCAATGAAAATGTTTCCCTTTTGAAGTTCGAAAGATCGAGAACACGGGTATAATACCCCGGATTCCGCTCCGGGTGATGGTTCGTTGACCGCAATATTTGGAGGAATTCTCCAAATACAACAAAGGCATCTTCGGAGTCACGGGGCCAGAATCGTCTGGGTGCGAACCATAAAAAGCCTTGCACTCGACCGCTCAGCTGTCGCGAAGCCTGTCCCAAAGAGAGCAAGTCTGAGGTGTGAAGATATGGAAGAACAAAAGGCCAAATATCCGGTTGCCGCGCATCATCATAAGATGGAAGGTCTGCTTCTTCGTCCATTGGAGTGGCTGATAAGAGAAGAATAAATGGGACGATAATGGAACCTAGAATGGCCCAATATGGTAGAGACAGAAGATAGATTTGAATTCGACCTGGGTAAAATGTGAACAAGTTAATAATTAAGAATAGAAAAGCGTCATAACAAGTGAAAGACGATAGAGGAGAGGTAGGCTAAGTTAGTTAACTTAACGTAATCCACCACCGAGCTGCGAATATCACCGAGCTGCGAACTTCAAATCTCACCAAAATCGGGATATTTCATAACCCGATATCTCAACAACAGCATCATAATAAAATCTACAAGTTGATAGATAGACTTTACTAGTCATTTTAAGCCTTTACTCAAATTCACAGAGCTCTAGCTATTGTAGTTGTAGATATACCTAGGTCATAGTAGATTCTTGCACCTTTTAGCACCTAGGATCTAGGTATATCTACCATTACAATAGCTAGAGCTCTATAAATATGAGTAAAGGCTTAAAATGACTAGTAAAGTCTATCTATCAACTTGTAGATTTTATTATGATGCTGTTGTTGAGATATCGGGTTATGAAATATCCCGATTTTGGTGAGATTTGAAGTTCGCAGCTCGGTGGTATTCGCAGCTCGCTGGTGGATTACGTTAGTTAGTTGATGTACTTAACTAGTACTTTAGCACGACGAGTCGCTTTCGGGCTCCAGCACCATCTAAGCACAGCGAAGCAGTCCAGTTTCTTACTGGAGAGGTTTTGCAACCTCAAAAACCATTTTACAACTTCACTACAACCCACCTTTCTGTTACCCTAGGTCCTAATAGAGTTTAGTTACGGAATAAATTCTGATGACCCACAGTTGTACTCCGTAAACTGTGTGCTACCGAACTTCCGTTCGTAGATTAGCATCGCCCTATCTGGTATAGCGCTGATTTTCGTTTTCAATGAAAATCTCACCAGCCCTTCTAATTACAGTACAGTAATTCATCATTCCCTAGTCGCAAGATGGCCCTGTTGATTTCAATTGCCACCTATATTCATTTCGCTGCCCATTACCCCTAGAACTAAGCCTATTTAGGACTGCTCAGTCCTTTCCGACGTATTTACATATCTTCAACGGTTATCTAGCTAGATCTCTTTTTTGGAGAGAAGGGGAATCGTCAATAATAACATATATTGTGTCTCTACAGTAACTGAGCTTAAGCTGCGAACCTGCTTAATCATCACCCCGCGTAATGCGACACATGCTATATTCTATGGTTTCGCCGACCAAAATAGGTCTATACCACGAATTCGCCCGTACAGACTAATTACGTGGTGATCAAGAAGATGGTCTGGACTCCTATATTACGTCTATCCAGACATCTTGTCTATAGATGATGGTCTCCAGCTCTATATCACCATTAACACCCTGCCTAAACCAGTGCTGTAAGCAGATCAAATTCCTTAAGGTGGGCGCCTCCATCCGTGTCCTCTCCGTATCCAAGATTCTCCCGCAAGCTGACCAGATCCGCTCCATATCAGCGGCCGATGAAGGAGTCACGAAAAGGTCTATCGCGATCTAATATAGAGAGGGATATCGCGTGCGATTAGCTACCCACCAGGCGATAGGAGTTTCGGTAGGGAAAAGGCCCTCTGCGAGGTATTGAGAGACCTCATTAGATATGGGTGTTTTCCGTGGTTCTATATTATGTATCGTGACTATAATGGCAAGACCGCAAGAGTCACGTCGTCGCCAACTTCAGGCCAATCATTATCGCCAATCATTTTGGGGTGATACTGCACCCACATCCCGTTGTACTAGGCAGAAACAGGAAACCAAAGGATGCTCAATCCAGGGCTTGCGCCTCGCACATCCTGCGATACATGCCGCTGTTGGCTATGAGCTCTTCGTGAGTGCCCATCTCGGCGATCTTGCCTCCGTAGAAGACGCAGATGACGTCCGCATCCTTGATGGTGCTAAGACGGTGGGCGACGGCGAAAGTGATACGGTCGGCGTCCTTGGCGGCTTCGTTCAGGGCGCCCTGGACGATCTTCTCGCTCTCCGTATCGAGGGCGCTGGTGGCTTCGTCGAGTAGCAGGACCTTGGGGTCGCGGATGAGCGAGCGCGCGATGGCGATGCGCTGGCGCTGACCGCCGGACAGCTGGGTACCGCCCGAACCGGCCTGGGTATTCAGCCCGTCGGGAAGAGAAGAGACGAAACCCCACGCGTTGGCGCCGCGCAGAGCGGCTTCAATTTTCTCGTCGCTAACCCGTAGCGCGGCATCGGTGGACGAGAGTTCGTCCATGGTCGGGTCGTCGAGGCCGAGGGCGATATTCTCGCGGATGGAGCCTTTGAAGAGGATCGGCTCCTGCTGGACGAAGGATACGATGCGCCGGTAGAGGCGGGGGTTGAGGGTGGTGAGGTCCGAGCCGTCGATGACGATGCGGCCGGTTGTGGGGTCGTAGAAGCGCTCGAGCATGGCGATCATGGTGGACTTGCCACAGCCGGAGGCGCCGACGAAGGCGACGAACCGGCCCTTTTCGACGGTGAGGTTGATGCCGCGAAGGACCTGGGCGTCGGGTCGGAGAGGGTAGGAAAAGCGGATATCGTCCAGGGCAATGGGACCGGCGGATCCAGGGCCCTTATCTAGGTTCTCGGGGGTTTGCCGGATGGTGGACTCTAGCCCGCTGAGCCAGAGGATGTAGTTGGCGCCGTTGACACCCTTGGTGATGCTGGTTGAGAACTGGAAGAGCTGGGCGGTGGCCTGGCCAGAGAAGAAGACAGCCAGGAAGGCAACAAAGAAATTGTACATGCTAATCTTGTCGAAGGAGAGAAGGCGGCAGCCGTACCAGAAGCCAAGGGCCATGAACCAGTACTCAATAGCCTGTGTGAAGCCAAAGCAGATCATGGCTGCGAACAACGGGGGAGTAGAGTCGGACAGAGCATGGTCGAGTTCGTTGGTGTACTGTTCCAGAACAGACTTTTCAATGGCGAGAGATGAAACGGTACGAATGGCGTTGACGGCTTCCGACGCGATCGAGGCGCTGGCGGAGTAACGCTTCGACGTGTCACGATCGAGCTTGGAGTCCAGCTTAATCTTCAAAAAGGCAGCGCCGAAAAGAGGGGGGAGACCACCAAAAACCACGACCAGGCCCAGGTTCCAGGAGTGGGCGATAGCAAGAATGCTGCACGTGAGAACGTTCAGGACGGAGATCGTAATGAGACCGACATTGAAACCCATCAGCTCAAGAATGGACTGTGCATTGGAATCGATGCGACTACTAAGGGCTCCGGTGCTGTTCTCCTCGCGGTCAAAGAACTGGAGATCCTGGCGGAGGATCATATCGAAGCTCTGCCTGCGCATCAGTTGGCTCAGTGCCTGGGCAACGCAGTTGGTGGACCAGCCAAGGGCGAAGTAGCTGATAAGAGCGCCGGCCGCGAGGACGATGAACATTTTGGCGTAGAAGTTGCCCTCGCGCTCCATCGCGGCGCCGGTGAGCGTGAAGACATCCATGACGTTGGCGAGGAGGATAGCTTGGCCAGGGAAAATACCACCTTCATGCTGGTTAGCGACCGGATATTTTGAATCGGGTATGGGAAATTTTGAAACTTACTTGCACCGATGCATCCAAGAAGCACTAGTACGTACCACCAGAACAATTCAGGAGTCATCTTCATCAGGCGGAACACAACATGCAGCATACCAAATTGCTTGTGATGGTCGTAGTTGTCGCGCTCCTTTTTCGCTTCCATGCGGCCCTGGACAGACGAGGCGTACCGAGTCAGGGGCTTGTGCAGGTCCGCAGGATCTGGGTTCTGGGTGTCCTCAGTCTCCGTTTCGGACTTGCCCTCGCCGACAGCGAGGCTTTGGATCTCCACCAAGCGAGCGTAAGCACCGCCGTCGGCAATAAGAGACTCGTGGCTGCCCTGCTCGATGATGCGACCATTGCGCATGACAACAATGTTGTCTGCCTTGCGGATAGTAGCGAGCTTGTGGGCAATGACGATTGTGGTGCGACCTTCCGCGGCCTTATCGAGGGCTTGTTGGACGACACCTTCGGCATGAGGGTCTAGGGCACTGGTAGCCTCATCCAGCAAGAGAACCTTCGGTTGAGATACGATGCTGCGGGCGATGGCAACACGCTGCTTTTGACCGCCGGAGAGCAGACCTCCACGCTGACCGATCTGGGTGCCGTAGCCGTTTGGGAGTTCGGAAATGAAATCGTGGGCAAAGGCCATCTTGGCAGCGTGTTGAATCAGTTCCATTTGCTTCTCGCGGGACGCGTTCTCCCACTCGGTTCCGATGAGGCCATGCTTGATATTGTCGAAGACCGAGCCCTGAAAAAGTACGGGCTCCTGCTGAACCAGGCGGACGTTCTTACGCAGCCAATTCAAATTCAGCATGTCGATGGGGCGACCATCTAACTTGATGGTGCCTGACTCCGGGTTGTACCAGCGCTCGATGAGGCCAACAATGGTGGACTTGCCGGAGCCGGATTGACCCTGAAGGAGTCGTTAGCGACGGACCAGGGTACGAAAGCCAAGGTAGAACTTACGACCAGGGCAGTGACTTTGCCCGACGGGACCTTCAGGGAGAAGTTATCCAGAACAGTGACGCTGGGGCGAGTGGGATAGGCAAAGGTGACATTCTCGATCTCGATGACACCTTCAGTCTCGGTCGGCTGCTCGCCATCCTCGTCGAAGGGGTCAATTGACGACTTGCGGTCAATCAGTCTAAACAGCATGACAGCAGCAGAAGCGGCGCGGCCGAAGTCGATAGCATAAGGAGCCAAAATGGTCAGTTGGATGGAACCAATAACAACAGAAAGAAGAACACTGATAAATAGGGTTAGTTTAGGACCGAATACAAGGAGCCAAAAGCGCCATCGTGCAAGGGTTTAGCCTACGTGAAGATTGTGCCTGGGTCTTCGATCTCGCCAGTGGCCATCATTCGGACCCCCTGCCAGAAGGCCAGACCGAATCCCAAGTAAATTATGGTGTACTCGGCGGAAAACAGGATACCAAATAGGGGCGAGATCTTGTCACCGATCCTATGGGTCTCGGTCAAATAGGTGTTAAATCGATTGACGAGCCTCGCGCGCATGTCGAAGGCGTGAACAGTGCGTACGCCGGAGAGAACCGCTTCTGTAAAAGCATTACCCTGGGCATG